ATCCTCAACTGCTTCCAAGGCTCCCATTCGGGCAGACCTGGATGGGCTGAATATGGTTTATCCCAATTTCTATACCACGTGCCTCTTCCTCTTTCCCACATAGAATATGAACCTCGACCACCTTGCGAGGGACCTTCCCCCGTCCACCCACGTAGTAGCTTCCTTCGCCAGCACCCCCCTGGGTATCGGCTCCTCTTCCACCGCGTTCACGGCCTCCTCTTCCTCAGCCGCGTCCTCTTCCTTGTCGCCCTCCCCCACGGGCTGCAACCGCCGCGTAGCTCCCCTCGTGAGCTACCGGACCGCTGGGTCCTTCCTCAAGACCATAGTCTATTTGGTCATAGGAAAGAGTTCCGACACCTCCTTCTTCAAAGGTCAGAAAGACTCAGAAGGAGGTTGTCTTTCCCAGGTATGTTCCCAAAGATTGTGCGGTTCTGCCACTTCTGTCCCGCTTGCAGATCTTTCCAATAATGACAGTAATTAGCTTCGGTTAAGAAACCAGCATGCTCTATAGCGATCTTGCTGAACTTCTCGTATGGCATCCCCTCTTCTTTTGTGTGGGGATAAAGCTGAGTACGGAGAGGATCAGGAAGTGCCCTTGCGAAGTTGTTGAGTATTTGGGTAGGAGTTAATCCATGTTTTGCGCATTGTAGGAGTTCGTCCATTGTTGCTTTGAGTGCAGACGCACTCTTCTATTTTTTATCTGCGATGTTTAGAATTAACATTTCTGTTTTGCGAGCTAGATTTTTATCTTCAAATCGTTCTCTGACAACTTTAAAGAAATCTTCAATTCTAGTTTGTTGGGAATATGCAATCATCGTATCGCAGTTAGCTTCTTTTTGCAATGAGATGGCGAAGCTCATCGAATCGCCGACGATGCACGAAGTGGCGATCAGAACTCTTTCCCAATAAGGTATGTATTCACCGTACACATAGGGCTCTTCGGCCGCAATCCAATGCATGACACTCTCCTCCTTCTTGCCAGTGTAGGTCCACGACACTTTAACTTTTATTTTCCTGACATCGGTATCTTTATCGTCTCGCAACACTCCCTTTCGTTTTCTGTCTCCATCGCCTCCATCTCCGTCTCCATCACCACCTCCTCCTCCGCCGCTGCCTTGGACTATCTTTTCAATCACATCAGGGATAAAGGTTTGTGTGATGTGCTTATCCAACTTTTAAATATAAGATTGAATGTGCAGATCTACGTCTTTGGCGGAATTTTACAAAAAGGTATTCCAGACCCCTTCAAACTCGTATTGGTGGCTTTCAACTTTTTGCAGGGTCCGGTTCATTGCGGCTACCTCTTGCTTGCTATGAAGGACTAATTCAGTCAAGAGAGCAAGTTTTTCTTCGGTTGCTGCCTGTTTGTCTTTCTGTGCTTGCAGCTAACTCTGCAGCCTTGCCCCCTCTGGTTGTAATTTTTTCCTTTCGTCAAGTTCTTGTCGCTTCGCTTCTAACATTTTACTATGCAGCTTTGCGCGTTTTTCTTTAAGCATGAGGTCCCTTTCTTTCTGGTCGGTAATGGTAGCTAATCTCACAATGAACACGTTCATTTCTTCTTCTGTTTCTTCAAATCTATCGCTGGAATATGCATACTGGCCATACCAGTCCAGCGGTTTAACATCAAGTGCTCCCCCTGGCTGGCTGGCTTCACCTCTTTCTGCCCGCCGCCTGATGAGTTTGTCCTCGGCAGACTTATTTTCTTCTTCAATTGTTTGCCGTTCTTGTTTCAATTCTTTCTCTAATTTCTCTTTCATTTCTTTCTTCATTCTCTCTTCTTCCATCTGCATTTTCTTTTTTACTTCTTCTTCCTTCAGTTTTTTTCTTTCTTCTTTCTCTTTTTTCTTTTCTCCCTGACGGCGATCCACTTCAGCCTGCTCTGCGGGTGTAAACCCTTGCTTTATTCCTCCTGATCTCATCATCATACGGGAGGTGCATACTCTCCCGAAGCCCAGGGGAAAAAGAACTCTGAAGAAAGGACCCATCAGGATAGAAAGGGCAATCAAGCCCTATATCGGGAAGTCATCCACCATGGTGGCACTTAGCACAGGAAACTCTCCGCCGGTCCCACCAAGTAGGCCTCCCAACTAATCCTCAAGCTACTCTAAGTGGGTGGGATAAAACAACTTCGCTTTGTCTGTTGTTTTTTTTTTCAGGCTTTGAATGTCGCTGCTTCAATTACGAATTTCAAAAATGGGGTATACAATAAGACTTTTTATTTTTTTTTGTCGTCAACTTCAGATATTGGGCTAATTAACTGTGCAGCTGTATGAACGCCATGAACGCGCGTTCACGTTCAAACGTGCGTGCTCAAACCCCCCGGCCCAGAGTTCATTCGCGTTCAAATGCGCTACATGCGCGCACACACGAGAAAATTGAACGCGACCCCGCGGGGCGCGCGCGCACGTCGGGGGCTCCGGTGTGGTGGTCCGAGTTCGACGAACACCCGAAGTGCCAAAACCGCCCCCCAGGACCACCCCATAGCCCCCCCGCCGCACTCCCAAAACCACCACCTGCCA